GAGAGTTAATTGCGTGCTTGATTAGACATGGACTTCTTATTAACTTCCTGCAATGTCACCAACTTCAACAAAACTGAAAAGAGAAAATTTTGTCCATGAGCACTGCATCCCAAAGTAGTGATGTGAGGAAAGTGTTGTGAAATGTATTTTACGAGTGAGGGTGGCTGAGTCAAGTTGCAGAGAACTGAGTTTATTAGAGCGACAGAAAAGCGTCTACTAAAAACCAGCACAGAGCATCTTCTGCATGGTGGGGAGCGGCGGTGATCCGCCGCTGCTTATGTTCCAGACAGAACAGGGACAGGATAGAGAATCTCCGCTGAGCCCCGCTCTTCAAACCGGAGGTGTGTGTGGCTCTCCGCCGGTAGGGGATGATGATGATGATGATGATGATGATGATGATGATGATGATGAAGTAAACATTGATTTAAATATCGGAAATATTCGAAGATGGGTGGGGCCCCTAGTCCAGAGCGTAACGCCGTACCGCTGGCTTGTACCGCGCGTACTTAGCATGTTGGCCTTCGATCATTCTTGTGGCCTTTATGTTGCTTGCGTTGTCCGTAACTAGGGAAAAAACCTTTCCTGTTCCAAGTTTTCCTATATCCTTCAAAATCTCTCCTGCGATGTATTCTCCGGTGTGCCTGTGATGTTCCATCTCTTCGATGTTGTAAAAATTGGGCTTTGTCGTGACCACCTCGAACTTCAATATGCTCTCACGTCATACGTTCGTCCAGCCGTCTGTGAGTAGGGTGGCACTAAGTGCAGAATTAATTTTATGTTCTGCCTGCGTCACCACTCGGGCGTGCTTCTACTACAATTGTCAGCCATCTAACGAGAGCCTGGCGGGCAGTGCGTAAGCGGGCATGAGAAGCTTGAACGCTTCTCGCCAGTATTTGTTTTCGGTGACAGACAAAAGCATTCACCTTGAATATATCGCTCGCGCGAGTGCCTCATCCAGCTTTGTTTGGCGCTTCAGTGCCATTGTCTCAACAAATGCTTGCATAGAAGTATGCTAGTTGATAGGACTGTCAGTTTCTCTTCGAGAGTTTGCGCCTTTGTTTTCCGACGGTGGACGGTCTAGCCGCGCAACTTTTACGGATGTACTTCTTGAGGGACATCTATCCAGATTGCAATCTTGCCAATTTGGTTGATACACCAGCGCAGCAGGTTGAATGTCCAGAGGGCACCGTGAACATTCGACGGGTTGCGATTGGATTCGTATCTGGCTCAACAAAAAGTACACACAGCTGGCCCTTTCCCATTGTTGAGCACATCGAAGTTCATCCAAATATTTGAACAGGGTCTCACCATGGTACGCAGCGATAAGTTGAAACAGATCCAAAGCCGATGCGCTCCCGAGTTCCGAGAACTTAACGCGTTGCGCACAAGGGTTCGCAAAGCTAAAGTGACTAAAGAGATTTACCCGGTGAATCGGCTTACATTTCTTTGGATGTCCCTTGTGGATGGCATAATTACGAACCAGCGCTCAGGTAGACAGTTACTCAAAATCTAAACACACAGAAATATACACTCGAACTGAAGTGTGAGTGTATATTTTTGGTGTGTTTGGATTTTGAGTAACTGTCTACCTATGCGCTGCTTCGTAATTATGCCTTACCAACTCGCCAAATCTGCAGTATTAACTTGCGGATGGGATTTGTTCTGCTGGCAGTATACAGATGAGTAGCGAAGAATCCGCCATATTGACATAAGTTTTCGTTAACGCTAAAATAGTTTTACATGATACTACACCACCAAAATTCGCCAAAACACTCTTGCCGTTATTGGCCTTAGTAGCTATCTTTTAGATCGTTGCTGAATTATTCTGATTGGACAATGTTTCCAACGTTTCCAAAACTACCGAAAAAAGACTTTTTTTTTTTTTAGTTTTGTTTGGCCTTCAAGATTTCCGTATACTTTCCATCCTTATCCTCCTGTAACGGGCTTCCAGACCCACCAAAATTCTCTTAGCAGTTTTCCTTCTTCTGTTTTGTCTGTATGTGTGTGTGTGTGGGGGGGGGGGGGGGAGGGGCGGCCTTTACTGTACGTTTAAAAATAAATATTTGAATTTAATTTATACCATCGACTTGTCTCTTTCTTTTATTTAGCGCCTTGTGGAAGTACGCAGACGAAAATCGATGTCGGTTAGTGTAACTTTTAAAAACTTCAATTCTTTTTAGCAAATAGACTTTGAGAAGCTGCGCTTTGATCTGTAAGCAGAGTAAAATTGCCGTGCAGTTAAAATTATTTTAATGTTGCTTTTGTTTTCGCATGCTCCGTTTAGGTACACAAGATTTAGGAGCACCTGGAAACATTACGCAATTAGGCAAATTTATAATGAAACATGCAATCATAAAAATGAGTAGCTGTGTACTAAGCATGAGTGATTTTAGTGGACTATGACAACCTGACGATGGGCGCTCGCACGATTTGGCTTGCATTTATATGTATGTGACACATTCTAATGACCATTCAAAATGAACAGCAGAAAATAGTGCTCCTAATTTAAACGGTAAAAAAACCTGCGTTTGTTTGGACGCCGTAGTACTGGACCTGCAGCCTGAGGATAGCGAGCACAGGGCGCTATAGGCTAATATCGGGCCAGTAATGTCCAAGAGAAAGTACCAGCTATGTTCTTTTTAAAGACACTTTATTTCCAGCTATATGTACCGCAGGAAACAAGGTATATTATACTTATGGAGCGCTGAGGCGTTCAAAAATGTAAAATATTATATTCTAAATCAGATTAATATTAGAAAAGTGTTTTTACGTTTAAAACTATATTTTTTTAATTTTTAATATTGCTTTAATTAAACTAATGGCAAGCATTTAATCTGTTTGATATGCAATACAAAGTATATGACTTGTTTTTTTTTAATTATTCATTGTTTAGCAATCTTTAGGTCGTTATTCTTCATGTGGATTAACCATCAGTTCAATAAGCAGCAGTGCTTAAGCAAAACCTCGATGTCATTGCCCCCAGAATCAATCGCAATTATGTTGGACTGTTTTTTTTATCTCGCCATCCACTTGGCATTCTTCGAAGGGGAATGCTGAGTGGATGACATCATGAAGATAACAGTCTGACACCAAAGACGTTAATCTCTGCAAGAAAGTAGATACATTTCAGGGCGTGTCTGCCAATAAACGTTAAAAAAGAAACGGTAAATAATATACGCAGTGAGCTCGCAGTTAATTTATTAATGACATATACATATTACGGCAAACGCACCATTGGAATGAGAGGAGGCGGGGGTCTAGGATGCTTTTGGAACGGGACAAACGAGTTTGAAAGTATTCGAATCTTCTGATTTTTCGGACAAGGGCGACTTCGTTACGAACCTCTGCCTCTTCTCGGCGTTCTAGGAATGATCACAACGTAACACATTTTCACTTGTTTGCTTTTGTTACGATGGGACTTCGTCGTCTTCATTTTGCAATAGCCAAGACGCGCGGCCTCAGCACGGGCCACGCCTCACGCACTGTTCCTGGTTGAGCTAGCGACATGTTCGCAGGGCTTGCAGCTCACCACCGATCTCTGCAGTCTTCTCTTGTAAATTACATGTAAATAGACCACCACTGAACACTTGCGACGAGGATGGGAGGAAGGGATCGTAGCACAGGAAACGCATCTGTCAACCCTGGGACCTACCCACTGTCGATTGTACCAGAGCTCCTTACCACAATCAGTGGAGGAAAGCACTTTTCAAACATTGACTTGGCGCAAGCCTACCAGCAGCTGCGACTCGATGAAGCTACGCCTGAGGTATTGTGTATCAATACGATCAAGGGACTGTACGGCGTCAAGCGTTTACCCTTTGGCATATCTGTAGCCCCGGCTATCTTTCAAAAATTTATAGACGTATGCCTTGCTGGGTTACCGGGCGTCGCCACATACTTTGACGACATCCTCGTCACTGGCTCCACCAAGGACCAGCACTTAGAGCGACTCGAAGCAGTTCTACGACGTTTGAGTCAAGCAAACCTCAAAGTCAAGAAAGAAAAGTGCCATTTCGATATGTCGGAGGTTGAATTCCTCGGATACCAAGTGGATGCTGCAGGCATTCGGCGGACACAAGAAAAAGTAAAGGCGATTGTAGAAGCGCTACAGCCAAAAGACAAGTCGGAACTACAATCATTTCTTGGAAGGATTGCCTTCTACAATCGGTTCCTCAGTCATCGAGCAACTGTGGCTGAAAGCTTGCATCGCTTGCTCGACAAAAATGTACCATGGAAATGGGAGTCCCGACATAAGAAGGACTACCAAGTGCTGAAGGACTTGCTCTCGTCAGCAGAGGTCCTGGCGCACTAGAATACTGATAAGCCGCTCTTCTTGTCATGCGATGCCTCTCCCTACGGTTTAGGACCCGTACTTGCCCAGCTTGACAACCAAGGCTGCGAAGCTCCCATTGCTTACGGGTCTAGAACGCTCGGTAAGAGGGAATGAACTATGCCCAGCTTGACAAAGAAGGGTTGGCCACTTCTCGACTCGGATCCCGATGAACAAAAAGATGTATGTGTCTCAGGCCAGGCATCTTCAGAGACGGAATTCTCACCAGCGAACACCTCTGGTGCGTTTTCACTTCCAGAGCCTACACCGCTCATCAAGGGACAGGACTCTGCTATGCCGAATACTGAACCGACATCAGAAAATTCTCCTGGACCATCCTCCTCGTCTGTTCCGGTGCCTCTACCCAGAACACGCCCCAAGCGCGTTACAAATTAACCAGTGCGCTTTCGAGAAACTGATTAGTTCTATCGAGAAGGGGGAAGTGTTACGATGGGACTTCGTCGTCTTCATTTTGCAATAGCCAAGACGCGCGGCCTCAGCACGGGCCACGCCTCACGCACTGTTCCTGGTTGAGCTAGCGACATGTTCGCAGGGCTCGAATGTCACCAACGATCTCTGCAGTCTTCTCTTGTAAATAATATGTAAATAGACCACCACTGATCAGCTTCCTTTATTCAACATATTTAGCTTAACTCAGGAAAAAAAAAGTTTGAATCTAACATTTCCTTGGAAACGTTTTAAAGGTTTCGCATGAAAATAAAGAGGAGTAGAAGAAAAGTCGCATTAAATTTTGGTGGTGCGAAGTTGTGATCGTGTATTTTTCTTCCTTCGCCTGAAAATAAGGAGGAGTAGAAGAAATGTAGCATTACATTTTGATGGTGCGAGTTTGTGATCGTGTATTTTTCTTCTTTAGAGTGATTTGTATTCTTCAACCTTTAATCATTTACCCATCTTAGTTTATTATAGAACGAAAATATTAGCACACAGCTTTATCTAGTGCAAAAAGAAAAATTCCTTCAACAAATTTCCGTGGATTGGTCTTTTCATTGGAAGAACGCCAAAATCCATTGCATATTCGACTGCTCGGTGTATGGCCGCGATGCTCGATCTAGCGGCGAACACATATGCAGCAGCTCGCTTATCTCGTCGTGCTGTGTGTCCTGAAAAAAAAAAATAGGAAGAAATTATAGTGAATGATTCTTCAAGAACAAACTTGACGGCACGTAAACAGTAAAAATAAAGTGCAAGTAGTAGTATTTGTCAAAGCGGGTGAGTGATTTAAGCAAAATATGATAGGTTTTTAATGGGTTATATTTTAAGTAGTCACTTAGTAACAAATTCAATGACGCAGCATAAAAACGACAGCAAAAATTAGAAAAAGAAAAGTTTAGCGAAATGAGGACTTTCATACTAACTTGGCTTTGTTAGTATGTGAAGCAAATGAACGCCATAACATTCAGAAAGTACATTCGATAAACATGTTACCGGTAGCCTGTGTGATAATGTTTTTTTCAATGCGGAAGAGATTAACAGCATTATAATGAAAAAGGAAAAAAAGAAACAAGCCATGAGTATATAATTGCAGGATGCTAACTAGGTGATTGCCTGGTCTCTCTTCAGTCGATGATTAAGCTTTTAATTATATATACACAACTACATTTTTCCGTTAACTAAAAAGGTAAAAGATAACTACTCCATAAAACATTATTGTGAAAATAAATAAGAGGCAATATATCCGAGTGCTAGGTGCCTGAGACCGGTGTTAGGTCAACACGTTCTTATATCACATTAATGCGAGCAGATTGAGTTAAAGGCCATTAACGAAATTGAGTTATTCAGAAGAGCCAAACAAATTACTTACGGTCAGAAATTTCCGAAGCCCCTCATCCTGAAAGAGAGGATAAGTGTCACGCATTTAGCTTGGGACCTAATGAACAATTGCTTATCTTTATAGGCTTTTTGTTGGTGGCTCTTACCAAACCTAGAGTGCTTTCGCGTTCTCGAAATAATGTATTTGACAATGAACACGACATAATCACCGATACTGCAAGCAAAAATCGACACGAACGCCAAAAGTTCTCGAGACCTTTTGGTATTGGTGTCGAGTTTTGCCTGCAAGCTCGGGGTTTCTCATGTTCAATCTAAACCGATTTGCCTGCACCCTTACATTCACTTCATTGATATTTTTTGCGAAATAATGCAGGTTTAGAATTGCTTCTTAAATATCAAAAGTAAATTTCTTTCTTGGAGATAGTGGGTTCCTGGGAAATGTTTGTAGAGTTCCAGAATTAGAAAGAAACCAAGTTGTGATATATTTCGTGGTCAAAAAGGCTTTCCATGCGAAAATTAGAACTTAAATTTCGACGTGTTGATTAAATTTACAACACGAACAAGTGAAAACAACGATCATTCTGGTTTTCCTCTACTGCCATTGTTTCATAAACAGACACGGCACAGCATCCGCTAGAACCAATTGTTTTTTAAATTTTATTAATCTAAAGTAAACTAACAATTGGTATTTGTAACTCTGGACTGGGGCAACTGCGTATTCCGGCCATTTTCAAACGCGTCAATTAGCTAGCTATTTTCTTGTAAAACTCTTATAATAGGCTTAGTAATGTTATTGATATCTGCGCCTCAATAATGGTATGGCAAAATATAAGAGCATGCTATGATTTTCAACTGCTGCTTATAACCACTAATTAATATCTTGTATTTTTTTGCTTCGTTCTTGATATGTATTTTAAATGGACAACAGGAGCCTGAAATATTTATTTTTAAAAATACTAACTTATTTTTTTATAAATGTATTATTGAAGTACTTATAAATGAAGTTATTTATTTATTAATTTATTATTTATTCATTTGTCGGCTTATTAATTTATTTACTTGCTTGATATTTATTTACTTACATACTTATTTAGTCATTTGTGGTTCGCCTTTTGCTTGCTATATATGTGTGCATGTATTTATTAATTTTTCTCAATGCCCTCAAATGCAGAGTGAGTTACAGATGACAGTAGGCAACTTAATGCAAACAAAAAGCACAAAGACGAGTTAGTGCGGTGGCGTAAGCCCTCAAAAATATAATTAGTAAAGAGCAGTATTTAAGCGAGTTTAACCAGATATAGATCCTAATTATCCAAAGAGGTTTTTTCAGCCTGTTGATGTTCTAGGAATAGAATACGCGCCATAGGTTGACAGTAAACAATTTAATAAGGTACGCCAGGTTGGAAGTGATGAATGGTCTACGAATAAATAGGAAAAGTCAAGAGAAGCGTTTTCATTTTTAGAATAAGCTTAGTGTTATCTTTTTTATAAATCGTACACTGACGATACAATTTGTTGTACCACGAAAGAGAATTTAAAAAACAAATTTACTTATAAATCCAGCTCCACGATCGTATAATGACTGGAGATTAAAAGTGAGTTTCATCTGATCACTATCTCAGATTGCAGCTACGTAATGTATAATTTGCAGAAACCTAAAATCATGGCTGAATGACAGCTCAGGAAAGACGGAATCTAGAAAGCCTTATTTAACATAGCATCAAATTGATTATTATCAATAGTGTGGTAAATGTGGGATTGCCAGAACAATTTACTAAATCTGGACGCTACTGCATTAATAGCATGCCGCACAATAGAAAGCTGCGTTAGTAAGGTAATATGTAAAAGGTGACGCATAACAACGAGATGTTCCTATCGTTGTACATTTTTTTAAATATCATGATTGTATCAAGAGAACTTAAAAAAAACTAGGTTATTAGTAGTTTCATGGTAAATAAAGCAGTCCTGAAAAATAATCAAACCGCTTCTGAAACGCATAATAACAGGCCGCTAACGGAAGCGAAACTAAAACAAGACACCAATGCGTTTCTCTGAGGAATACTTAAAGTAACAAAGAAATTAACATCGTTTACAATACACACACTCATTTCTACAAGCAAATCGGCGCACCCCTAGCGGACGTCTCTGGCGTCGCGCATGCGCGATGGAGGGTGGGCAAGAAGAACCCCGTGTTTCAGTAAGAGACCATTGGAATGCGATGTAGTTGACGACTGCGGAAGTCCCCGTGCTCTTTTTCGCGTTAGAAGTGTTGATTTTATGTCTTCTTAACAATGTCTGACTACTTTAGTGGCCTCAGCGAGATTAAGAAGGCGCGTTTCACCCCAAAACTTTGCGTGAATAATGTGACGTGCGGTGATTCATTTCGCGTACACGCCGCAGTATGTACGCTAAGCCTGATTCCCATAACGAAATTCGGCTTGCTATTTTTAGTGACGACGTCGCTCGGGCTGCAAAAGAAGCATGAATGATAGCAGCGATGCTCGGCGTCGATACTATAAATCGCAAGCAGAATCGGACCATGTGAATCAGGCATAACGAGCCGGTGATGGTCACTCGTAGCAATCAGCAACACCCCCTTGTACCTGCTGTTTAAACTGAGATTAATTAGCCCAAACAATCCTCACATTTTAAACCTTTAAGTCCCGGACTTACAGTTCTCATGGAAATTACCGCGTCCGAGTGTGGTCTACGAGCCGTTGTCGATTCAACGAGTAGACGTTAGTTTGAACGATCAGGCGGTCGTTTGAACGCGAAAATTGCACTGGACGTGGTATGCGGGTGGTCCCAACAATTTAACGGTTTTCCCGTGCTCATCTTGGAACAAAATAAAAAAAATTAGACGATCATAAATCTCAGTGAATCTGACTCAGTGCTTCCCGCACAAGCAACTGTGGTCTCTGATGGCGTCTGGGTTATTGTGAAAGGCTACGACACACCCGTACCACGTTTACGAGAGCGGCGCGTGCCCCTGGCTCGCGTGGACCAAAGCACGCTCTCGCACCGACCGGCGGCTCGTGCGGGAGCTTTGGAGAACTCGGCTCTCGAGGCAACCTTTGTACAAGCTGGGTGTCTGCGTGTGCGTGTGGATGACTCTTCAGCGAGCGAGCCACCACGCCGAGAGACCCGCCACGAACTTCTTCGGCATTGGCTGGCCGTTGGCACACGAACTTCTTCCGCATTGGCTGGCCGCTGGCACACGAACTTCATCCACATTGGCTGCCGAGGACCACGTAGGTCCCTGCGATTGGACAAGCCAGTGGACGGCGAGATGGCGAGGCGGATATAAAAAGAAAGGACACCCGTAAAGTTGGTGTGGTACGAACACTGAAGCGATGTTGTAATTAATGTAAATATAGAATGTTCTTTTTTGCTGAGCTCGTCGCCTCCCGGCTCCTCGAGCCTGTCTCCTACCCGGTACAAGGTAGTGTCGCCGGGCTGGGAGCCTACGTCGGAACACTCAATCACGACAGGGTGTGCCTTTTCACGGCACCTATCCACGTTCTCGGAAAAACCGGGCAAGCAAAACACGGGAAAATAATCTTGATAGCTTTTCTCGTTCTTTTGGTTCAGCCCCAGTCGCAGCGATTTGACGAGAAGGCAGGTCTAAGCCTCACTTCTTCCAAAACAACACAGCAATGCCCGGCCCCGCATGGCGACTCCCGCCCGCACCACCAGACCGGAAATTCGCCGGAAGCGCCAGCACCGCGGTGGGACGTATCAGAGTTGAGTTAATGTATAGACATTTCGATAAATTGTCCAAGATCCAACTGCATTCTACGAACACATAGTTATACGGGCTGCACGTGCTAGCGTCTGCAGCAGTAACGCTTCTAACGCAAGACATTTATCAGAAGCGGCACTTCGCACGTGCGATTGTGTACGCTTTATTTTGTTATTTACATCGAATGTTTTACACAGAGAGGACGAGCGCATACAGCGCGTGTGCATACCTTCCTAGCATTCTCCTCGGTGTTTGCGAAATTTAGAGTAATGTTGATTTCAAACTAAGAGTCACTATTTTTTTTGGAAAACATTTAATTTATGTCAGTATATTAGGCTCAATATTGGGATATCTTCATTTGAATATTAACAGGTTTTGGTAAGTCTTCTAGAAAGCATCGAGGAAGTTAAGAAAATACTTTTAATTTATGGTTTCATACTGAATTTTAGTCAATCGACAGCTGCAGAAATTAAATATTGAGGATTGTTCCAAAAGTTTATCTTTCTTAATACCAGCTGTCCATGGTTAAGAATATAAGCTAAAAAAAAGATCGTTAATAAAATATGAAAAGCTGACTTTCACATAGGATATTTCATTGGAAGTCCAATGAAAGAAAACAAGTTGAGATTGTGGAAGCAAATATTATGCTTTTACGTTTTATAGAGAGTGCACTGTTAATGAAACATATAGGTTTATTATTGCTAAGACCACATCCATGTGTATGTAGTAAAACTACTTTCGGATAGTTTACATAAACAACGACTTCTACTGGAATATCCACGTCCAATATGTCGCTAACAACGCAAATCGACTTTTGGGCTATCTGAAACGTAACTTCCCGCTTGCTCCCCATTTCGTTAGAACTTCTCCCCTATAAAACCCTAGTTCGTCCTGAACGTGAATATGTAGCTTCTATTTGGAACCCCGGTATCACCCTTGCATCAGCTGTCGAATCTATTCAGAATCGTTCTTCCCGTTTCATACTTCCGAACTATCATCGCAGAGCCAGTGTGACTTCCATGAAATCGTCGCTCTCCTTGCCTAATCTCTCTTCCCGAAGAAAAATATATTGTCTGTTTATTTCACAAGATTTATTACTCTCAACCCGCTCTCCGTCAAGCATTGTTTTTAGAACCATCGTACATATCATCACGTGTAGACCATGACCTAAAGGTAGGGATTCCTAATATCAGCGCCTCCACTTTTAATTCCTCTTTTCTACCCCAGACCTCCATTGACTGGAATCGTATTCCAACCCCCACATATAGTCTCAATAACTAACACTGTTGATTTTAAAAATGTTATTCCCAATTTTTCAACAGATGTTGCGTAGCGCGTGTTTTTTTTCCCTCACTGAACTAAATTACTTTTATGAGTTAACCGCCCACTCCCCTCTGTAATGCTTTCGAGACCTGAGGGATTAATAAATGAAATGAAGTTAAATCCAGTTTCTATAATATTTCCAAAATAATGAGAGTTTGCTCCAATTTTTAAGCAAGAATATACCGATGTCATTATATTATAGGGCTTTTAGCAAGCTTCACTTTAACAAAATGCACAGTCAATTCTACAGACACTTTGAGCCTTTGATTAGGTTGATACATTCGTCAAACGCAAACAAAAGTGAGTCTACATAATGAAAACACTGACTGGGGTATAAAACGTAACATGGGCCTGCATTATCAAAGAATCATTTCCCAAACGCATCATGACAAACTCTACGTATGGGAATACAGTAGAAAACAGCAGTATACCATACAAACCAGAAAGTGATGTAATTTGTTATCAGTTCTTTTCATTACAGTCCAAGATTTTCTAACGTTAGCTGCCGACAGTGCATGTAGAGCTTAAATAAAAAAAAAATACTTCGCAGCTTTGATTTAGTTTTACAAAAGATGACAGCAATTTCTTAACCGGGTCGGTATTACAAAATGTTTCGCATACTTCAGAATTGAAAAAAAAAACGTAAAAAAAATATATTTTTTCAATTAGATATTTTATGCGGACATAGCTTACCAAGCCTGGATTCGCACACAAGCTGAGAACAATGCAAAGGCCGGAATCACATCCTGTCTCCGCTTCGAGGTTAAGCAAGCCTTGTTTCAACTGAAAAAAAAAAAAAAATAGAGATATAAACAGGCAGAGTTCTTATCAGCAGGTAGAAGTTGCAAAAGGGTCAAATTATTTCCTTCGAAGCTTTCAAACGTAGAGTACCTGACACCCTTTTAAACTATGTAAATATAAAAATAAAAGGAAAACAAATACATTTCTATGTCGACAAATTTAGTTAGTCAATTGTTAGAACATTAGCATACTTACATCGTTCGATGCCCGTATCCGAACGCAGTCGAGAGTGCCGCTGAGCCTCATCTCGGGCCAGTCTGCAAAAGAGCGTGTTTGAGAACGCTCACAATACTGTACATACACTCAAAAATAAGCACCTTTATCTAAAAAACAATATCGCGCGTTTAACACACACCACTCAAGCAAACTATTGTTATTATTACCGAAGAAAATGAACAAATGAGGAGACAAGGATAACATTTTGACTCGAATCAGTGATATAGGTAAGATTTTGAGCAGGACATTGAATGTTGTGATCCGAATCTGAACATGAGTCATGCTCATGGGTCAGAATATAATGAGTGCCTCACCATTGACCTTTCTATTTTTTGGCGAATCGCGTGGATGGAGTCTTCGCCTCCCGTGCGAAGGCTCGGTTCGTATAAAGGCTACCATATTATGGGTCAATAGGTTAAGAATATTCCTCCCCAAAAAGCGACTCCCACTTCTCTCATTAAATAATAAATAAACAACACTGAGTGGAGAGCAAAAATACCTAGAGACTGTAAATTCAACTGTATAAATAAAATATCAATATATTATTACTTAACGTGGTCCGACTCAAACGTAAAATTACTTTAAAAAATAACAAATTTTTTGTAGTGTTAGGTTAACAATCTTTTGCATTTTACCGTTACAGCTAGCGTTCCGTCAGTGCGACATTTGAGCTCCCCGAGATGTGTAACTAATTTTCCCACTGCATAAAATAACAACATATTTTCCGCGATGAAACCAACGAGAATATAACCAGTTACGTACAGCACAAATACTTGAAGCTATAAGATGTAGCTACAACGATGAGGGCAGCCAATGTGAAGGTTGACACGAGGAACCTCATCACTAAGCTAGTCGGGAAAAGCGCGAGTCGAATGATTCCCCTGTTTCCCGCCACTGGCTTTTATGGCTGTCTTTTGCTTATATTTTACGAGAAAAAAAAAAAAAGAAAACAGGTGAGGACCTGTCCCATCAGTCCGAGAGAAGAGGACTGCTGTAAGCAGCACCCAATATCTTTGCTAGCTTTCGCGTTACCTAACGTGCTGACACCTTGTAAGATATTCAGTATTGTCAAACATGCAATGGAAGTAAAACCCATGCTTCCACTGCGCTGATAAAAGAAACGCGAACTGAAGACAAACAAAGAAGATGGCGTCTCATCCGATAAAACTTTGGTTCCCAAGCAAAAACAAAAACAACAGATGGAACTTGGACGTGCGCTGGTTACCGCCTTATTTAGGTTATTTACATCAAAGCGATTAAGCTGATCGTGCCAGCGCGTGCAGCGTGAATACCTCCATTTCGAGTATTCTCCTTGGTGCTTCGGTAATTTGGCGAAAGATGTACTGCCGCGACTGTGTGTAAGATAAACAAAAGAGTTATATTTGGTGACAGGGTTAGAAGCCCCACGGGACTGCTACGCGGAGGTACCAGGTTTAAACTCCGCCTGCACAGGTTACTTTTTCAATCGTTGCTTCTCTGAAAATTTCCAGCTCGATTTGGGTTGTTATCGCCTGTATTTGCTTAGAATGCTCGTGAACACGTTGCACGTATCAAAGGAGCAATATCGGGGGCACACAATCGCCCTTTTTTCGCCGTCGGAGATGTAGAGTTTCTATTTCTGTTACTTGCAGGCACAAGTTCGCCTCAACAAACATCGTGTTTTTTTTTCACAACCATCTGCTATTTTTATTCGTGACATTACTGCATCGTATCTGTTCTCTGTAGACTGTTTTTTCAACAATTTATAAAATGAATCAGATTCTTTCGTTTGACTCAAAAGACTACAGACATATCATAATATGCCATAAGGTTGTTTTTTATAGCAGGATTTTAAGCTATAGCACTTGAATCTGAACGCTGCAGTGGTGACTTCAAATTGTTCGAGCAAACGCTGGAGAGATTTTGCCTTGCCTTGCAGTGCGAGAAAATCTCGAGCTCTCTCGGCAGAAAAAGTATGAGATTTTCTAACGCTGCAGGGCTTAGAAGGTCTGGTCTCCAGTTTCAAAACGAAGATGCGATCACGTTGTCCACACCTCTAAACGTGCCATTACCACTGGCCAAGAAACTGCGCTAATTAAAAATCGAACATTTAACTTGAAGTTTATTAGTTAGCTAATTAGTATGCGATTTTCAATCGCTGAAGTCCTCCGTGGCAGGCAGTTTGTTTTTTTCGGAAAATAGCTTCTCATTTCCTTAATTACCCTATTTGCAGACATTTTAAAGGTTTTCACTGAAACACCCGGTATACAGATTGTTATTTTAGAAAAAGCCCAGACGGCGTTTCTAAAAATAATAAATTTGCATTAGATTTTCTTTTTAGTACGGAGTATAATCTTTGGCCCATTGGGGCTATTACTTGGACAGTTTGACAAATCGCGTTTTGAGATAATCGAAACTTCAGATTATATGGAAGAGGGTGACTTTATTATGAAAAGCCTTTGCCATCTCCTATAGCAGTACTACGAGTGAACACAACAAAACCCATTTTTACTTGTCTGCTTTTTATTTATTTTATTGAAACGTTGCTCAAAAATATTTTGCAATCAAGCATTGCCATTGACACATTTTTAGAGGTGGCGCATTGAACTACAGAAAAGTAGAACTGTCAGGTGAAGTTCCAGTGGTTTGATATTGAGATTGTGCATTTTGCTTCCTTGGAGGGATTTTTTTTTAAACGTTGCAGTATTTAATCACGTCTGCTCATTTTACATGAGGAATCCGAGGATACGTCCTCAGATATATTACGACCAGAAGGATTCTGGCAACAAAGTTTAGTAGAAGAGTTCTTTTACTCGAAGAATGCAATAATACACCACATCTTTGGCTGCTAGTTGTGTAGGCGCGTTCATTCATCTTGCGGCGAACACATACCCAGCAGCTCGATTATCACTTCCTGTTGTGGGTCCTGCAGAAAAAAAAGCGAGGGAGAAAGTGCAATAATTAAGTGTGCAAAGACAGATGTGGCGACACGTGATAAATAAAAATGAAAAAAAGAAAGTAGCCGGAAGTTGTAAACAAAACGTCCGAATAGGAATTGAATGGTGCCTAAACAAAGCAGAACGCTAGAGGGATGATGAAGGGGGAAACGTTAGAAGAGTGTCAAAGCAACATGAGAAATTAAACACATTGCTCGAGGCCAGAGCGTTCGCAAAGAATTTTGGCGATTATATTTTGAAACGCAACTAGAGCTTTCAGAGCAGCTGTCGTGGTAATGGTCTAATAGTCCCATAACGAGGATCACTTCAACGCTTGATACGTCAGTGGTGGTAGTTGGCGGCCACTAAAAGTGATTTTGACTGAACTATGAAGTTTGAGGCAAAGTTATTTAAATATGAAAGCTGTCTAAGCGTAGACGGATTTTTATTGTTGATAAGCATTTCATAAAAAAAGCAGAACACTTTTTGCCTTCTTCTTGGATAATAAATAATAAATACTGTTACTATCAAAATTCGTTAGAAAAAAAATGCATTCCAGAGAGACATAGGTAAAGCATTATTGTTGTTGACATTTCTCAATGAATAAAGAGACGGATGTCTAGAGTGGCAGATCACCAGTGGTGGCATCGGTGGACCCGTAAAAAAGATAATGAGCGCGATCGGTCAAACAGATCAGCCGCAAATTTGGGAATGTTAGTTTTGCTCCAATCCGTTGAAGTCGGTCAAGTGCTTGTCAGCTTTTATTTCTTACGTTTACAAGCTCGTGTCGCAGAAAATCCGGCGTCGGCCTCGGTGGGACCATAAAATCCCACAATGCAAGGGGCACAACCAAGTGTGACGTGACAGGTGGCTGTGACGTCATGATTTTACCGACATGCTAAATTTGCCGGGAAAATTCGGAAATAACTTTTCCTACCAAATTTAAGAAAAAGTTCTTGCTTCATTTAGCGGGTCGATTCGTTCGTGCCATTACAGCCACGTATTACGTCACGCGTATACATGACATAACGTGACGTGACACTTGACGCTACCGACCAAACCACGCACACACGATTGCACGGCTTGGGGACGAGCGCGGGTTTATATTAAAAGGCTTTGGGAACGGGGCCCCATTAAACTATGGTGTTCCACTCTTAAAGGCGAAGCTTAAGCGTCCCCCACATTTCTGTTGGTACAACTCCAGCTAAAAGTGGGTTTAAAAAAAAACAAGAAAAAAAATTTATGTAACGACATTTCAAGCGGGAAATTTCACCTGTTCCTAACGTTTATTAAAGTGTTGAAAACAGCATGTGTCAAAAACGGGATAACCGATGCCACCAGTCGTCCTTAGATTACCAAAATGTATAGGAAGGTGTGGGCGCTTTTCCTCTCAATTTATTATGTGTCTTCTATATCGAATATGTACATTAAGCCTTAGATTTCTGCTCGTTTTGCGACCTTCGCGGATTGTTTTAACAACATGCTTTGCTTCAAAGATTGTTTCTCTAGACACCCCCCCCCCCCCGCCCGCATGCCAGAATACAGCCGCGATAACTCACCTTCTGTTGTCTCACCTAGATGTCGAGCCACTAAAATCGGTAATAACAAATTCACACAATGACTGCGCTGGGGACCAGAACATTATGGTATCGAAAAGGTCACTAAGCTGCCGGGCGACAACAATAATGAAGTGAAGCGAACGAAATGGAAGGAAACAAATAGTGAAGGCCAGTTATGGCTGTGCCCATGCATAGCTGGTGAAAAGCGATTATAGACCGTTCCATTAGGGTCATAGCAGAGAGGGTAAAAAGAAAAAAAAATGCCCTACCCCTCTCACCCGGGCGTCGTCTGCTCCTCCGAGTGGGCTGTACCTAGCATCCGGCTGGCGTACAAACTCTGTTTAAAATCGCGTCATTATGAAAATTTCAAGTGCAGAGGCGCAGATTTTGGTATATCAGTTATCGTGTAATACTATGCTAAATAAAAAGACTAACAGGGTCCTATTGCGCTGTTGCCTGCGTGAAAATAAAAAAAAAGAAAAAAAAGGGAAAACTGTCAGATTGGACGGTCTCTCCGGTTAAAAGTAAATCCGGTTGCTGTACCTTCTTTTATTATACAAAGTTCGTGAGTGGAAGCCTGAAATAATAAATAAAAAACGTGCTCTCCTGCCGCAATACACGCAGTAGTTTAGGGTAGTTCTGCCGGCTGACTTAGCTGCTATTTAAGTAACGGAAAAAATATATGCTAGTTGATCATTTACCGAAATAGAACAACAGAGAGCTCTAGACTGATTTTGGAGTAGCCATAACTACTCTAAGAACGCGAACCACTTCACAACGGCAGCCACGAGCGAGAGTTCGATGTTCGGTACTGCCCGCCGGTACAGCTCAAAGATGGAGAATGGCAACCTCCCGGTTTGTCGCCTGCTAGCGGAGTCGGGCGCGTGCCCTCTCTCTCGTTTTACCCCGCCGAACCCGCTGAACTTCGCGGATGTGTGGAGAGGGCGCTGCGGTCAAACAAAATGGTGCCGCCCAGAGAGCGCTAAATGGAATGGTCTATAGTCACTGGCGAAATGAGAGCGGTTAAAAGGTCATTCAGCAGTCCCGCCTTCGGCGCATCATGCTTCCTACCTTCGATAATGCTTCGGCATCTCGTGAGCCTCGAGCGTGCACGTGCCGCCAAATCACGGCGGAAGGCGACAAGCGCGCGCTGGAGGTCAGGCATTTGAGATAGGCGCCCTGCTGTTCTCATCCTATCAGTGATGATAGATGCATCATCTAACATTTCGAAGCGAAAAGTATGGTGATACCGCCAATGCTGCGCCATCTTGAACACACTTTCCGATGCGCAGTCAGTTATGCTGATCTCAGATGAGCTCGACTGTGATTAGTTGTTTAGGGACTGTTAGCACCACCGTGTAACTCAAGTCGAGAGCGCCTTACT